AGTATCCATTCACCAAGTCATCCTTTATTTACACGTATATAGTACTTGACGCTGGTCCTGTTTCCTCAGGACCAGCTCTTAGTGAACAGAACCTCTGATACTCCTAATTATATCGGTCAGCCAGGGCTCCCTCTTTGGACCAGGTTAACAACTCCAATTAGGGAACTCATATTCGAGGAGGTTGGCAGGCCTCATTACAACAACTACATTCCTGGTCTCATGACACAATGGAAAGGTGTGGTGATGTGATCACTTACTACCTGACGAAGCATGACATCTACTCAACTTTGGGTTAGGGTTGTAGTGATCAAGACCCTATGGTACATGTGGGCATAGAAGTGGAAACAATCAATCATTTCAGACAGAAATAGGATGGATGCTTGAAGGAAATAAACTCATGAGATCAAGGCAATATTTAAAGGAGTGGGATTGACTGGAATGGTCCACAGATAGCAAACATAGACTCAATGGATCAAACAGCATTCTCCTGTGCCTTAAATGACTCTCTCTCTCTCTCTCTCTATCAATGCTATGTGTTCAATTCAAGCACCAAAGATGTCAGCATCCAAGACAGAACGTGAAGCCATGACAATTCTCTCCAAAAACAGGGTTCAACTTTCACTGTGCATATAAAATTAAGCCACTGGTGCTAATGTGGATGGTTACCACTTTCAATTCTGATTGGCATCCAATGTAAAGAGTTGGCATGTCTTAAACTCACATTTCTTTTTAATACAGCCTGTACCACCCACTTGATCACTTGTGCTTAATCTAAGGTGCCAGTAAATAAATCGTGCATTTGAAAATGAAAGGTGACTACCAACGCAAGTATAGCATATTACAGCTGGAAATAGAACTTGACTTATGCACTCAGTACTTCACTATTGAACTCTCTTTATTCTCCCTACTGTATTAGCATATATGTGTCCTAATATATAACTTGAGTTTGTCCTATTTCCATTGACAATTCAGAGGCCAACCCATCTACTTACATTTATTTTATATCTCTTTTTGTTTCATTTCTTTTTATTCCTCCAGACACCTTTCTCCTAGCATCATGCTTCCTGTCATTTCTCCTATCCCAAATCGTCAATACTCCTTGACTTTCCTATTTTACTGATGTTATGCCAAGCTTGACTCCTGCTCAGACACACCAATGCTTCTCTCTGTGCCTTTGGGCATGTTCCCAAAGCCTCATCGAAGCAGACATTGCTGCCTCCTTATCTTTCCCAGTTAGCTCCCTCCACCGAAGGATCAGCTATCACTAGTCCTTCATATGTCACCTTCCGGAATGTCAGTGCACATGAACAAGGGCTTGCCATGCATGAAGATATGATGGCTTTGATGAAAATCTGGCTGAGAGGGGTGACATCTTCATCCACAAATGAAGCCTCTCTGTTTGGCCATACGTTGTTCCATGCCATTTAGTTAAAATCTTCATTCACTACTGCCCATGAAACCACAATATATATTTTCTCACTGGTATATTTTCAGTGCTCTACTTCCCTCAGAGAATGAACATAATAGCAGCATTCAACCCCTCAAGCCTGCCCCAGCATCCAACACGCCCACTTAAGTTTATATGAGTCTTCGACCCACTCTTTTCTCCTTCAAACTGGATGCTGATTTCACTCTTATCTTCACTATCCAAAGGGGTTTTTATACTGAGGTCATTTATTAATACCAAGTCCAATTTCACCCTGCTCTGTGGTCATTTCCAGAACACTTTGTTTTAAGAAATCATCTCAGAGGCATTCTAAGAGCTCCTAATTAAGGCAACTATTGCCAGTAGATTTTTCAAGTTGTTGGATGAAATCAACTAAGATTATGACTGTCTCTTTATCAAAGACAGTCAATACTTCTTCTTACACTGTTGTCACTGTTCAGGAGCTTGTGGATCAATCCCACTAGTGACGTTTTTTACTCACTGTCCTTCATCTTCACCCAAACCAATTCTACATGTGGATCTTCTGAACCAAGGAACCAGGTCCTTGGGTCTTTGGTTCCTACCACAAACTCCATTCATTAACCACCAACTCCAGCTCTCTCCCTAGCAACTGTCTGAACCAAGCCAGATTTCTGCAACATTCATACCATATTTGATCCCGAGATGAACCCTCGCGCAAATATGTCCCATCTCTAAGACCAACTCCCACTTCTAACATTGCCTGGCTCCATCCTTATCAAGCTCATCAGGTGCTGAAACCTTCAGCCATATTTTTACTCCCTTTAGCCTTAACAATTCCAACATGTTCTTGACTGCTCTCCCTCATTCTTCTTATCTGTAAGCCTCAGATCATCCAAAACTTTGTTGTACCATGTCCCATTCACCCATCACGATCCCTGGGTTCGCTGATTTGGCTTGGCTGTCAGTTAACATAAGCCTCATTTTTAAAATTCTCGTCCTTGTTTTCAAATGTCTCCAGGGCCTCACTCCCTTCAACTTTAATCTCCTTCAATCTGATAATTCTCATCAATATCTGTACTTCTCCAAATCAAACCTCTTCAACAACCTCATTATAGGAAAGATGTGGAAGCTTTAGAGACGGTGCAGAGGACATTTACCAGGATGCTGCCTGGACTGGAGGGCAGGTCTTAAGAGGAAATCATGAGGGAGCTAGGGCTTTTCTCATTGGAGCGAAGAAGGATGAGAGGTGACTTGATAGAGGTTTACAAGACGATGAGAGGCATAGATAGAGTGGATAGTCAGAGACTTTTTCCCAGGGCGGGAATGACTATTACGAGGGGGCATAATTTTAAGGTGATTGGAGGAAGGTACAGGGGAGATGTCAGAGGTAGGTTCTTCACACAGAATGTGGTGGGGGTGTGGAATGCACTGCCAGCAGTGGTAGTGGAGTCAGATGCTTTAGAGACCTTTAAGCGACTCTTGGATAGGCACATGGAGGATAGTAAAATGTAGAGTATGCAGGGTAGATTGATCATAATAGGATAACAGGTCAGCACAACATCGTGGGCCGAAGGACCTGTACTGTGCTGCACTGTTCTATGTTCTATGCTCTATGTACCATTAGTTGACATGCCTTTAGTTGTTGTGACCCTAAGCACTGAAATTCCCCCTCCATAAATCTCTCCTACTCTTTTCCACTCTTTCCACTTTAGAATGCTCCTTAAAACCTACCTCCTTGACCAAGCTTTTTGTTATTGGTTCTAATATTACCCTTTGAGATTCAGTGTGAAATTCAGAACCATGTGACATTTTACTACATTGTCAATCAGATGACAGCATGTAGCATATCCCCTCAATTTCTCCCGACCTCGGAAAGTAACTACAGACTGGGTAAGTCTGTGACTGGGTAATTACATTATTTGAGGTGAGTCTGCATAATTTCCCTACTTATTACTTCACTGCAATTCCCCTCCACAAAGATAATACATCTTAGCAATGGAAAATAATACAATATTTTTCACAACTTTATAAAAACTGTTTAGCAAAACATTTTGATTATATCTGATGCACCAAGGCACTCCCCAGTAAAAACCCTATGTTAAACCATTAGTACTATAAATTTCTACCAGTAAATATATTGCTGCCATTTGTCAGACATTGATCGAGTAATCAATACGACTGAAGCTCAAGTCCATATAATGGATCATTATTTTGTATCTAATTTGCTTTTAAGTAGTGCAGTAAGCACCACAGTGCAAAGAAGGGAGATAGGTTTCCAATCCCAAATTTGTTTGTTTGTTCATTAACTTAGGTTTCCTTTTATTCCTTGGGCTTAGTTAGCAAAGCTCATTCTGAGCTGAAAAATCAATATAAATGAACCCCTACAACAATACCTGTCTGAAGACAAATGCCCTGATCAAAATCACCACCCTTTCCTTTACGCACAAGTGCAATACTCCAGGGTACTGGAAATGGAATTAACAAGGTGCGCCAGCACTCGGATTGTAAGATAATCAGCTAGGTACACAAAGTGATCCAACTTCACACACAACTAAAACTTTATACTTGCATATTAACTGCTGGAAATGTAATGTTACCAAGGGAAGAAATATGTGAACCAATTTTACAGGTCATCATGCCTTTGTAATTCCACTGTATACTAGGGTAAATGAGCCAACTCTCAGGCTGAGCTAACTAAACAAGAAAGTAAAATGGCTCGCATGCTGGATAGTTGGCAAAAAATGTGTTTTCCTCAAAAACATTTCCAGATTTCTTCAGTTTAATTTTGCTTATTTTTGAATAAAACATTTTATTTTTAATCAAATTATTTGTTGACATGGATTATTCTCGAAAAGTACTATGTTCTGAGGAAACCATAAGCAAATAAGACTGCGGTCTGATGAAACATCGCAGATCTGAAATGTTAACTCGCATTTGACTCTCCACAGGTGCTGCCAGGCCTGCTGAACATTCCCAGAATTTTCCAGTTACATTTCAGATTCCCAGCATATGCATTATTTTGTTTCGTAAAAATGAGGAAATGTTGATCCGGCCCGATCTTACCACAGGATGGGAATCAACTTGATCGTAGGATCTACCAACTTATATGATCTTCTGAGGAATTTGTAATGAACAGCAATTCTCAAACGTTTACTTTTAAGAAACATATATGATGATTAACACCACTGTTTTGTACACTTCTGCTGAATACTTCAAAAGGTTTGTTTTTGTTTCCACAGCAAATCACGGTTAATAAATAGAAAAGGAATCAAGGTTCTTCATCTTAGATTTTTGTAACTTGGAATCCAAAATTCTGTCTGTAAGCATCATCCCCTGACAGTAACGAAACTATGTTTACACATCAGCAATTAGACTTTTTCATTTTAAGCAGAATCTACATCTTGCCATAAAATAATGTCCGTAATATACCATGCATTCCTTCAATTTTTCTAATGCAGAGTATCATTTACTTACCAAGAGCAGTCTTGACAGATCCCACAGTTGGACTAATCTGATAGCTCAAAATTTACATTAAATAGACTTTTATTTACTCAAGAGATGATGTTAATAAATTCATAAAATCCTTCATTACCTTGACAGGTTCCATCTATTGTTACTCCCCCTGGAGCACAGGACAGTGATTTCGTTTCTGCAATTGCTATTCACAATGGGAGTGGGGGGGTGGCATAAAGAGTGAAGCATTTAGAATGAGCAGCATTAAAAGAGAGAAATTATTCTGAATTCATTTATTTTCAAAACAACAGAGGTTACTTAAGTGACTAAACTACGAATATCTTAAACACTTTTCTTCATCTGTCAACAAGTATAATTAATACAAAGATCACTCCGGCTGTTATAATAGAAGGTGAAGAGAGTTCTGTCAAAGTGGTCTGTCCCCACAGCTGTCTATGAATTTGTGTATGTCACAGGATTCTGCAATCTTCAATCCTTTCTTTTGAAAAAGTGGAAAGCATCCATGGTTGCTACCAGAAAAGAATTTCAAACTGTATCCAAAGGGAAACTTATTTTCCAGGGGTTGGCAATGATCATGGTTGGCATTTAATTCTAATATGCTAATATAGCCCGTACCACCTCATAATGCACAAAGTGCTGGTTGTTGAAAATTGGAATGCCTTGTTGTCTGCAAATAAAAGATCAAGCTGTTTCAATACATCTAAGACACATTCTTAATAAAAACTATTTGTTACTTTGGCCTGAAAACTATCTTCTGTGCTATGTCCTGAGATAATTCCAAATTGAGCATCTCCAATTTGAGTAGCAGCCAGCCCTTTGAAATTGAACTTTTAAAGCTGTGTACTGAAAGGTCTTCCTGATGGTTTCAGTCAACATCGGTGAGTCAACATGGAATTATAAAAGTTTGCACGACAGAAGAAAGCCATGTAACACACTAAATCTTTGCAGCTCTTCTGTTAAACCAATCCAAGACTACCTATTCTCTCTCAATCTTCCTTTGCCTTAAATGTTTATTTAACACCTTGCCATAAAAGTATGCAGTGATCTTCACCTTAACTATACAAAGGAAATCCTGAATAATTTTCTTCATAAATTACTTCGTTCTTATTGTCCTAGTGAACTTGTTATAAAACTGATAAATGAATGTCCAACTAGTCTTTTCCTATTGACTATACTTAACCAGTCATTTAGTTTTCTAAAAAAAAAGCCCACTAAGCTTTCTCTTAACCTTTTCCACCTCTGTGAGAACAACTATAGTCATAGAGTCATACAGCACGGCAACAGACCCTTTGGTCCAAGTAGTCCATGCTGACCAAGTTTCCAAATTAAACTAGTCCCACGTGCCTGTGCGTGGCTCAAATCCCTCCAAACCTTACTTATCTAAATGTCTTTTAAACATTGTAACTGTACCTGCATCTACCTTTTTCCCTAGCAGTTCACTCTACACACGAACCACTCCGTGTAAAAAAAGTTGCCCCTCATGTCCTCTCACTTTAAAAATACGCCCCCAGTTTGGTACTCCCCCATCCTAGGGAAAAGACCTTTTTCATTCACCTTATTTATGCCCTCATGACTTTATAAACCTCTGTACGGTCACCTTCAACCTCCTACGCTCCAGTGAGAAAAGTCCCAGCCTATCCAGCCTATTTTTATAAGTCAAACTCTCCATTCCCGGCAACATTCTACTAAATCTCTTCTGAACCCTGCCCAATTTAATATCCTTTCCAAAGCAGGGTGACCAGAACTGCACACTGCAAAAGTAGCCTCACCAACATCCCGTACAACCTCAACGTGACATCCCAACTATACTCAAAAGGTCTGAGCAATGAAGACAGGGGTGCTAAACACCTTCTTATCCAACCTGTCTACCTATGATGCAAATTTCAAACAATTATGTACTTGAAGCCCTAGGTCTCTCTGTTCTACAACTCTACCTAGGGCCCTACCACTAATTATATAAGTCCTGCGTTTGTTTGTCTTAGCAAAATACAATACCTCACATTTATTCAAATTAAACTCTGTCTGCTATTCTTCAGCCCATTAACCCAATTGATCAAGATCTCTTTGTAATCCTAGATAACTTTCTTCACTCTCCACTATATCACCAATTTTGGTGACATCTGCAAACTAACTAACCATACCTCCTATATTCTCATCCAAATCATTTATAAAAATGACAAACAAATGTGGACCCAGTACCGATTCCTGTGGAACACCATTGGTCACAGGCCTCCAGTCCAAAAAACCCTTCACCACTACCCTCTGTCTCCTACCATGAAGCCAATTTTGTATCCAATTGGCAAACTGACTCTGAATCCCATGAGATCTAAAACAAAAACAGAAATTGCTGGAAAAGCTCAGCAGGTCCAGCAGCTTGTGTCGAGAGAAATCAGAGCCAATGTTTCAAGTCAAGCGTCCTTTCCTCAGGCCCATGTGATCTAACTTTACTAATTAGTCTACATGCAGAACCTTGTTTAAGGCTTTACTAAAGCTCAAGTAAATAACATCTGCCTTCATTAATCTTTTTGGTTACTTCATTTATCAAGTTTGCGAGACATAATTTTCTTCACACAAAACGCTAGTATCTCCACTTTCTTCCAATGGTTATAAATTTAATCTCTGATATTATTCTGGTGAGTTTTAGTGAACAGTGTCATCCTATGGAGCATTCCCAAGCCTTAGTTTTGCTGTGATTTATTTTGTATGGTCTCACTGATAAGAGTGGCAATGAGAAGATTTATAATTGCCTAAAAAAAAGAGGCTACATGCTTGTCATAAAACTTCACCATTTTTCAACTCTTAGGAAGAGAGGTTTTGATAAACTGCCCACTTGAATGTTTAAGCCATTGAAGGATGATTAACCATAGGATAAGACTTCACAGAATGGTTCAGTCAGATTGACATGTCTCCCTCCTCTCCTTTCGAAGATTAGCTCATTTGGTTCATTTCAGATTTAAACATATTGGAACAGACCAACAACAGGAGGCCATTTAGCTCTTTAGCCTGTTCTGCTTTTCAATGATATTGTGACTGATCTGTGACACAGCTCCATATCTCCTACATTTCCCCTTTATTCCCTAAAAGCCTTATTTATCAAAAATCAACCCATCTTTGATTTAAAATTAAGAGTTGAACAAGCATCAATTACCATTTGCAGAACTGAGTTCGAAACTTTTCCCTTTATGTAAAAAGCTTTTTCCAAAAGTTATGATTTTAACTTTGAGATTATGGTTCCTGACCTGCAAAACTAACTTCTATCTACTTTCTCTATCGTCTTTAGTATCTTGAAAATTTATTTTCTTTATTGTTTTGTAGAATATTGACGTCACTAGTTAGGCCAGCACTCATTGCCCACTCCTAATTGTCCTTGAACTGAGTAGCCTGTCACACCATTTCAGAGGACAGATGCATCAAACACATTGCTGTCTGTCTAGAGTCAAAGAAGGACAGGCCAGATAAGACGGCAGATTTCCTTACCTTAAGTGAACCATTTAAGTTTTTTTTTAAACTGAGAATCAATAATAATTTTTCATGGTCAGCAATATAATTGAGCTTTATATTCCAGACTTATGAAGTGAATAAATTCCACAAGCATTCACTCCCTCCAAGACCGACGCTCAGTAGCAGCAGTGTGTACTATTTACAAGATGCACTGCAGAAATTCACCAAAGATCCTCAGACTGCACCTTCCAAACCCACGACCACTTCCATCTAGAAGGACAAGGGCAGCAGACACGTGGGAACACCACCACTCCAATTTCCCCTCCGAGTCATTCACCATCCTGACTTGGAAATATATCACCATTCCTTCACTGTCACTGGGTCTAAATTCTGGAATGCCCTCCCTAATAGCACTGTGAGTCAACTGAAAGCAGGACGACTGCAGCAGTTCAAGAAGGCAGCTCACCACCATCTTCTCAAGGGCAACTAGGGATGGGCAAGAAATGCTGGCCAGCCAGCGACGCCCACATCCCACAAATGAATGGAAAAAAATATGCTGGTATGATGGGATTTAAACCCATGTTCCTCAAGCGTGGGCCTAGACCCTGAATTAATAGACTGATGACTATACCACCACACACCCAAAAACTCATGTAATCCTGTATATTCATGGGAATACAATCTAAGGTTATATAATCCGTCTTTATAATTTAACTGTTCCCTACCAGTTACCAGTCTACATTTCATTCCCTCAAATGCCAATACCGTCTTCCTAAAGTACAGTATCCCCAAAGTTCCTAAAGTGAATTGTAATTTATTGCTTTACACTTTCCCTTAATAACCACCAGATTAAAGGTTTCTCATCCAAAAGAAAAATGCTTCCATTCTCTAGTTGGCAGTTGCACCATTTCTGCAGTACTGTGATCATGAAGTGTCTGCATTTATCAACCACTTCCAAAGTGACCAGAAGTGCACTCATTCAGAGGTATATTAAATCAATAACTTCACCGTCCCATAGGTGATAGATAAGGATTGGAGGCAGTGGTTAGGTTGATCTTTTATCATAGAGGTGGAGCTTTCTTTTTAGTCCCTCACCCCAGAGTATTAGTTCAATGTCATCAGAGTCCCCAAACACAAAAAAAATTGAAGTATCCTCACATAAATGCATCCAGCATTTCAAATGTAATAATCTTGAAGCATATTTCTGTACCTTATTGGACTAATCTACAGCAGTCAGAGAATTTGAACAGATTGTGACGTAAACAGAATCTGTGTTAGCATGCATGAACTTACTGTGTGAGTGAAGATATGGTTTACTTTGTAGTTCAAAGCTTGAAAAACTAGCTAAGCTCTTATTAAAACTGTGCAAGATTGATGGAGCAGATGGTATGAATGATGGTGCTGGGAAGATATTTGGAAAAGTATTGTACAAACAGGGCAAGCTCTGCCTGATAACTTCAGCTAGTGTGGAGTCAGATTCTCCAGATTCCTAGATAGTAGCAGAAGGCTGTCTGGCAGGCCTAAAAAATGCACCTGGCATCTTGGTGCACATCTCTATCTGCATTCACATGCACGTCACCCCAAACAAAGAGAGAAAAGAAACAGAAAAACTCACAAGTGAAACATACTGGTCCAAAACATCTTTTATACTTAAGAAGTAGAGCTCCAGTATAATCATTATGCTCATTTCTAACTGTTAATGTTGTTTTTTTCTCTCTATGGAGTCTCCTGTAACAGAACGCA